TGTGTTGCATAAGTGTCTCAATTCTTCAATGTTAGCCAAGACTTGCATGATTGTCCGCAACATGGCTGCAAGAACATGTTTAAGTGCGGGCCAGTGAAAGCTGTATTTAACCAATAAACTGATACACGTGTCGTAAAGTCTTCCTCGTTAAGTTTCTAATGAACTATCCGCAAACTGATAACAATATTTACAGTACGAAAAACTGCTAAAAATCTATTGTGATACAACGAAAGGTTAAAACATCTTTTCCCTTCCCCACATTTATATCATTTATATTGACAAATAAGAAACAATATGGGGTGGAAACTTTGGTGATGTGTTTCCTTAAGACACCTGTTGCCCCTCTTCACCTAGCAGTAAATAGGTACCTGGGTGTTAGTCGACTGGTGTGGGTCGCATCCTGCGGACAAAACCTAATTTGTCCGAAATACTCTGCATAACAAGGGGCTTTCTGTAAAGTATGTCACTGATGTCAGTTAGGTCTGTATGGCTGTATCATGTAGAAATTAATTATAATTATTATTATTATTATTAATTGCTATTATTATAAGACTTCGTCCACCGGAGATCAACTGAAAAAAAAAACTGAAAAAGAATTGGAGGAAACGTCTTCTCAATAAAATGTCATAACCCACAAACTGTGCCTCATTAACATACGTTAAATGATATTTTATGTATTGTTTATATTAGCGTGGTAGTGGCACCAGGCACTGAGTGCCTCCATGTGTATTTTCAAACAATCATCTCTTAAACCAGGGTCTCCATACTTTCCACCAGGGGCGCTATATCCTATATTTTACACATTTTTTGCGGACCAAAGAAATAAATCAGTCTTACCAATAAATATAAATGAATAAATAAAATTTAAATGAATAAGTGTCTGAAGTGACAGAAAATGAGGCTTTATTTCCTATTTATAAATATTTCAAGGTGCTACGAGCAGCAGTATTTTTTGCCCTAAACAAAATTACACAACTCGCATATAGGAGAAACGTGCTTATGACGAAGTTTCGGTCCGACTTAAACCATTAACAAGTCACATTTCAACTTGCAAGATACACTTCAATAATATCCAAAATACACATGATAAAACATTTTTTAATTATTATTATTATTACATTTATTAGGAAAGGTAAACTTGTATATTTGACAAAATGCTGGGGAGAAGTGGGAAGCATTTACGTTGGATCCATGGAAGTGAACTTCCAATTCCTTGGATCAAGAACCCCTCACTGGTATCAAATAACTTCCACTGGGGGGATAAAACGCTAAACACGTAGGGGCATCACATCACACAGCGCCTGTGGATGAGATACAGTCTAGTCTGACCTGAGGACAAGGTAGGGGAGCTCCACTTGCATGGATGAAGAGCCCTCCCTCCACGAACCCGTCTAGAAGTATTCACCCTCCTGTGTTTAGGAGTATATTCGCGGGGAAGCGCTCAACTCGTAAGAGTTATAGTGTCTGGGGAACAAGGCAATTAGATCTTATCCGAGGAAGAGGATAGCTCTTATTCCTGGGATGAAGAGTCTCTGACCAGCATGAAGGAACACCTAGATTATCTTAACACACTTTATACTGCATGCACTCACTATACAAATATAAGAACATAAGAAAGAAGGAACACTGCAACACGCTTACTGACCCATGAGGAGCAGGTCCATGTCCACCGCCCCCCCCGGATTAGACCAATGACCCCCCCCCGGATTAGACCAATGACCCCCCCGGATAAGCCCAATGACCCACCCAGTCTGGTCATCTCCACTCGAGGAAGGAGCACAGCACCAGACCCAGCAGCACAAGCTAGTCAGGTCCAACTCACACCCACCCACCCACCCACACCCACTCATGTACCTATCTAACCTATTTTTAAAACTACACAACGTTTTAGCCTGAATAACTATACTCGGGAGTTTGTTCCACTCATCCACAACTCTATTACCAAACCAGTGCTTTCCTATATCATTCCTGAATCTGAATTTTTCCAACTTGAAACCATTGCTGCGAGTCCTGTCTTGGCTGGAAATTTTCAGCACGCTATTTACATCCCCTTTATTTATTCCTGTTTTCCACTTATACACCTCGATCATATCCCCCCTAATTCTGCGCCTTTCGAGAGAGTGCAGATTCATGGTCCTCAGTCTATTCTCATATGGAAGATTTCTGATACATGGGATCATCTTTGTCATCCTCCTCTGTACGTTTTCCAGAGCATTTATATCCATTCTGTAATACAGTGACCAGAACTGAGCAGCATAGTCTAAATGAGGCCTAACCAAGGATATATAGAGTTGAAGAACAACCTGAGGACTTCTATTATTTATACTTCTAGATGTGAAGCCAAGAATTCTGTTAGCTTTATTGCGAACACTAATGCACTGTTGTGTTGGTTTTAGATTACTGCTAACCAGAACTCCTAAATCCTTTTCGCAATCAGTAGTATTAAGATCTACATTATTTAGTTTATATGTGGCATGGTTATTTAACTGTCCAACATTCAGTACTTTGCATTTGTCAATATTAAACTGCATCTGCCACTGCATCAGTCTATTCAAATCATCCTGGAGTGCTCTAGTGTCCTCATTAGAATGAATTGGACGGCCTATTTTGGTGTCATCAGCAAATTTGCTTATGTCGCTATTTATTCCCTCATCTATGTCGTTTATGTAAATTGTGAACAACAACGGGCCCAACACTATTAATATTACTTTCATTATTTCATTGTAATATTATTATTATTATTATTATTATTATTATTATTATTATTACTATTATTATTGGCACCAAGATAAGATTTTCTTGGGTAAGCTAATCAAGTTAGCGCGTTATCAGGGAACTGTTTTATCTCCATTGTAGTCGTTCAGTCTTGTCCCCCAGGATGCCACCCACAACCGTCCACTAATACCTAGAAGTACCTACTTACTAAGTGAACAGTGGCAACAGGTGTAAGACAAACCATGCCCAACGTTTCACCCGAAATAAGATCGATCACTTTTCCCTCATTTTGTGAGCTACCAACTGAGTCACGAGACTACATCTGTCTTAGGATACTGTAGCTGTACCGTGTAGTGCCTAACATGAGGCTAGCACTACACCTGTCTATGATAGTGTAGCTGTACCGTGTAGTGCCTAACATGAGGCTAGCACTACACCTGTCTATGATAGTGTAGCTGTACCGTGTAGTGCCTAACATGAGGCTAGCACTACACCTGTCTATGATAGTGTAGCTGTACCGTGTAGTGTCTAACTTGAGGCTGGCACTACACCTGTCTATGATAGTGTAGCTGTACCGTGTAGTGCCTAACTTGAGGCTGGCACTACACCTGTCTATGATAGTGTAGCTGTACCGTGTAGTGTCTAACTTGAGGCTAGCACTACACCTGTCTATGATAGTGTAGCTGTACCGTGTAGTGCCTAACTTGAGGCTGGCACTACACCTGTCTATGATAGTGTAGCTGTACCGTGTAGTGCCTAACTTGAGGCTGGCACTACACCTGTCTATGATAGTGTAGCTGTACCGTGTAGAGCCTAACTTGAGGCTAGCACTACACCTGTCTATGATAGTGTAGCTGTACCGTGTAGTGCCTAACTTGAGGCTAGCACTACACCTGTCTATGATAGTGTAGCTGTACCGTGTAGTGCCTAACTTGAGGCTAGCACTACACCTGTCTATGATAGTGTAGCTGTACCGTGTAGTGCCTAACTTGAGGCTAGCACTACACCTGTCTATGATAGTGTAGCTGTACCGTGTAGTGCCTAACTTGAGGCTAGCACTACACCTGTCTATGATAGTGTAGCTGTACCGTGTAGTGCCTAACTTGAGGCTAGCACTACACCTGTCTATGATAGTGTAGCTGTACCGTGTAGTGCCTAACTTGAGGCTAGCACTACACCTGTCTATGATAGTGTAGCTGTACCGTGTAGTGCCTAACTTGAGGCTAGCACTACACCTGTCTATGATAGTGTAGCTGTACCGTGTAGTGCCTAACTTGAGGCTAGCACTACACCTGTCTATGATAGTGTAGCTGTACCGTGTAGTGCCTAACTTGAGGCTAGCACTACACCTGTCTATGATAGTGTAGCTGTACCGTGTAGTGCCTAACTTGAGGCTAGCACTACACCTGTCTATGATAGTGTAGCTGTACCGTGTAGTGCCTAACTTGAGGCTAGCACTACACCTGTCTATGATAGTGTAGCTGTACCGTGTAGTGCCTAACTTGAGGCTAGCACTACACCTGTCTATGATAGTGTAGCTGTACCGTGTAGTGCCTAACTTGAGGCTAGCACTACACCTGTGATATTGTAGCTGTAGCGTGTAGAGCCTAACTTGAGGCTAGCACTACACCTGTGATATTGTAGCTGTAGCATGTAGAGCCTAACTTGAGGCCTCAGTCTTACTTCACATTTTCTTTGGGTCACACTCATGCCTAAACTGTCATGGTAGACAAAAGCGAGAAGTGAGCAAGACGTGCAACACTTGGGTATCTTTATTGCGGAGACGTTCTGACAACGTCTCCGCAATACACTCGTGTTCCACCTGTGCTATTTACCAACAAATGTTTTAATTGTATAGCATACAGTTAAGCAGATCCCAATAGACATAAGTCACATTGTTTGACTTTATTAGTATCTACATAATGTGTTGTTTATGTGCCCATAACTGTGTGCACTCAAAACCTTTGGAAAAATATTTCTATAATATGTATACAAAAATCAAATAAAAATGTCTTTACTTACACAAGAGTAACAACAAATCAGTTCCGGTTGAAGTATACAAGTCAAGCCTAGTGTTTTAGACTATAGGGACTGACCACCATCTATCAAGGTTGATCACCTCAAATCTACCCTTCAGCTACTGTCTCCGGTATCATAATTACCTCTGCATTCGACTGATGAAGCCTGCTGTGCAGGCGATACGTTTCAGCATTAAAGATACCTAAGTGTCACAAATACAGCTTACTACTTTACACAAGAGTACTAAACATCTGCAAGAGTCTTACCTTAGAGTTGAGCAGCTCGTCCAGCCTGGCCCTGACGTCGTGTCCTCCCTTAGGTCTCATCAGGAGGTAGATGGTGGCCACCCCAGGGCACGACCTGAGTAGCTTCTCGACCAGCACCTTGCCCATGAAGCCCGTGGCTCCCGTGATCAGGACACATCGATCACGGTAGAAGTCCGCTACGGCACTTGCACACATCTTGGCCCAACTCCCTGGAGTCTACTACTACCACTTCAAAACTAAGCCACTGCTTCTAATCCTGTGTGAATCACTCTTACTTTCAACTACTCTGCACATTTAGTGATGCGACGTAATGTACTCAACTCTACTTCGCTCCGCTTCACTAATGCCTTGCTTTTTTTTTTTTTTTTTTTACAATTTTCTATTGATCAACTTTTACGCCCTGTTTTTGTTTTCAGCTTTTTGGTACATTTTTTGGGGGGCCAACTTTTTCCACACTCTTTGTCATGTATTCATAGTTTCACAGTTTTTTTCCTTCTGTAGTAACACAGTTTAATTCGTTTCGTAGGGACGAGTGTTGTTTTGACGAGGTTACGACAAACGCGAAAAGATTAGTATCACACTAAACTAGGGAAGTAGAGTAAGAGACAATGAGGAGGAGAATGTGGTGACACAAAGGGCAGAGGAACTCGGTAGTCTCTCGAGCCAAGACCAAGAAAAAGAGAACACAGTGTAACCTGATACCCACTCACGAACATGCACTCTCTCTTACAAGACAGGGGAGAGAACTGTACATGCAGAAACTGTTCAAACCCGAAAAATATTGATGTTTGTCTCATAAGCTGACGAGAAAATCATAAGAGACAGTCAGTAGGGTAACGTGTCCTCAGCTTGAAGCATAGAGAGAGGAGGAGATAGGGAGAATTAATGTTCTCATGTAATCTCAGATGATAAAAGAATCTTGCTTGATATAATCATGTGATCTCAAAAATAATCTCTATAACATGATATTCTACTATGAATTCAGTGAGAGACATTATACACTGATGTGCTCATGTGATCTATTGAACAGAAAAAAATGCACCGGTGTCTTTAAAGACAGATGTATTTGTGTGTTTATGTGATCTCTGGAATAAACAGCATGTATCTAAGTATTTATGTAATTAAGGGAAGAGAGAGAGAGAGAGAGAGAGAGAGAGAGAGAGAGAGAGAGAGAGAGAGAGAGATTAATACTTTGCTCATGTGTTACGTTGCAGAGTACAAAAGAGAGGTGCTTGGTAGTCTCTCGCCAGTCAGAGGAAGACTGTACTCACTCTCTTGCCAGAACCCAAACACTGTCTGTATCGCGGTCACCTGGAGAAGAGAAAGTCCAGAATAAACACAAGGAGGGGGGAAGAAGAGAGAAAATGAGGATGTATTAAGCTATTACTGATTTGGGGGATGATTTAAGGATAGGGATGTCAGCTCGTGTGATTTCGGTGGTGTAGCCTCTTGGGATTTTGTTGGTGACCCTTCATTACTCTTGGGAATGTTATTCTGATGATGTAATAGCCTCTGATCCTGAAGGCTACCACTATCTACTGTGATCCTGGAGAGTGTAATGAGTCAGTGCTTACGTAAGTGATCTTAGGAAACGTCACCTTCTCTTGTGATCTTTTAGACGTGATCGGGGAATTAGTGCGGCGTTATGACTTGGTGACTTTGGAGGTAGGGATGAGAGGTGGGGCTGTTGATTGATGCTTGTGGTGTCACCTTGACTGGTGTCACGGCCATCAGGTGCCGTGACTTTGTGCTATATGGTTGTAGGATGTTTGGCCTTCCCTCGTGATCTCGGGGTCATGACCCTGGCCTAGGGGGGTCACACGCACTCACGCTCCTCCTCCAAGCTCTTCTCTCTCACGCCTCCATTGACTCTGAAAATGTAAACAAAAGGAAACTAGAGGTGGTTGCAGATCTATAAGGAAACCTAAGGAAGGTAACATAGGTCAAACATTCCAGTGTATCTCGTAATAGCTTCAAAAATCGAATACCTGGGAACAAAAAAACAAAAAAAGGTTAAAATACCGGGGAACCATTCACAAATAAGACATTTTGGAATGAAAGGTGGTGAGAGAACACTTCAGACCATTTCTCGGTCGATGACAGACTTAAACAGGGCATCCTTTATTCTCCCTCGACCCCCCCCCCTCCGTCTCTCTCTAATAATAACAATAATAATAATAATAATATTATTCAGGTACAGAGAAAGTTCAATGTCAGCATCAGTTTATTGTATTCCACAGCACTATTCCACTTACACTATTTCTCCACCTCCCCCCTCTCTCTCTCGCTCTCTACCCCTTCTCTCGCTCTCTCTACCCCTTCTCTCGCTCTCTCTACCCCTTCTCTCGCTCTCTCTACCCCTCTCTCTCGCTCTCTCTACCCCTTCTCTCGCTCTCTCTACCCCTTCTCTCGCTCTCTCTACCCCTTCTCTCGCTCTCTCTACCCTCTCTCTCGCTCTCTCTACCTCTCTCTCGCTCTCTCTACCCTCTCTCTCGCTCTCTCTACCCCTTCTCTCGCTCTCTCTACCCCTTTCTCTCGCTCTCTCTACCCCTTCTCTCGCTCTCTCTACCCCTCTCTCGCTCTCTCTACCCCCTCTCTCGCTCTCTCTACCCCCTCTCTCGCTCTCTCTACCCCTTCTCTCGCTCTCTCTACCCCTTCTCTCGCTCTCTCTACCCCTTCTCTCGCTCTCTCTACCCCTTCTCTCGCTCTCTCTACCCCTTCTCGTTTTCTCAGCATCGTAGAGCTCTCAGTGTTCAACATACACAACAGTGTTGAACACAATCTCAGTGTTCAACATACACAACAGTGTTGAACACAATCTCAGTGTTCAACATACACAACAGTGTTGAACACAATCTCAGTGTTCAACATACACAACAGTGTTGAACACAATCTCAATGTTCAACATACACAACAGTGTTGAACACAGTCTCAGTGTTCAACATACACAACAGTGTTGAACACAATCTCAGTGTTCAACATACACAACAGTGTTGAACACAATCTCAGTGTTCAACATACACAACAGTGTTGAACACAATCTCAGTGTTCAACATACACAACAGTGTTGAACACAATCTCAGTGTTCAACATACACAACAGTGTTGAACACAATCTCAGTGTTCAACATACACAACAGTGTTGAACACAATCTCAGTGTTCAACATACACAACAGTGTTGAACACAATCTCAGTGTTCAACATACACAACAGTGTTGAACACAATCTCAGTGTTCAACATACACAACAGTGTTGAACACAATCTCAGTGTTCTAACATTAGTGACAACGCTAAGTCACTTGAAGGTGCCACAAGTCCACTTAAAAACAACACTTAAATTACATTAATGAGAAAGCCCTAAACCCGTAAGTTAGAGTGGGAGAGAAATGGCATTTAATCAAGTTTCATCCAAGAGGAGGATAGCTTCAATTCACTGGATCAAGAACCCTTTCCATTAAAGGGTCAAACACATGAAAACCCTCTACGAATAGGGAAAGCGAAAATTTGTGTACGCAATAATTTCACAAAAATCATTCTGAATATAAATATATGTCGTGCCGAATAGGTAAAATTTGTCACTTAGCAAGAACTCATTTAAATTAAGTCCTTTCTAAAATTTTCTCTAATACGTTTCAAGATATATTTTTTTCATTTATTTCACTGTAAAAAATAATAATTTTGTACCAAAAGAACCTTAGAAAACTTACCTAACCTTATTATAACAATCGCAATTTAATTTAGCCTAATCCAACTAAATATATTTTTTTCGTTAGGTTCAGAATGATTTTTTTGCGAAATTATTGCAAACACAAATTTCCGCTTGCCTTATTCGGCAAGAAGAGCATTGCTATTTAAGCAAAATCGCATGTTTTACCTATTCGGCTTCCTGCTTTTGTGTCCTCATGCGTTGCATCCAGAGGGCTTGTAGCAGCGATTCTCCCTGAGCATCTTAGGGACAAGATTGGAGTCCAGAACTAAAAGTTCATTAACGGGCTCTAAAGCCACACCTGATCCCGCCAACAACAACTACAAACAGTCGCACTGAGATGGCCCAATAGTGGAGAATATATCCTCAACAATGCTTCAGAGTGTGTCAGGGAAGGATAGAGCCCGCCTCCTGGCAGTGAGCTCCTCATGCAGGGGACTTTCTGTTGGCTGTTCCCAACTCCAGCCTTGGCACACGCCTCGACCCACAGACCATCCGTATCGGTGTTGCCCTTCGACTTGCCACCCCTGTTCTCGCCGAACACAGGTGTATTTGTGGCAGTGAAGCAGCAGACCGATTCGGGTACCATGGTTTTGTGTGCCGTAAATCCGAGGGAAAGATAGCAAGACATGAGGAGGTTAGTAACATTATCAAGAGGAGCCTCAACAGCCGGATGCCCAGCAGTAAGGGAGCCACCCCAACTAGGCAGATCTGATGGCAGCCAAAAGCGTCCAGATGGTGACACCCTTCAAGCCTGGACAGACGGCAAGCAGGTGGTGTGGGACTATACATGTGCATCTACACTGGCTGATACCTATCTCCAATACACCAGGGAGGAAGGAGGGGCAGCTGCCAGCTTCAGGAAGTCCCAAAAGTCTAGAAAATATGGAGAACTTGCCCATCATTATATGTTTGTTTCCATAGGCTTGGACTCCCTTGGCTCATGGGGGAAAGAGTGCATGTAAGTTCCTTAAGGAGCTAGGCAAAAGACTCATCAGGGTAACCTGGGATCCCAGGGCAGCTAGTTTTCTGTTCCAGCGACTCAGCGTTGCTGTTCAGAGGGGTAATGCCTGCTGTATTTTGGGCACGCGCCCCAGCTCTGAGGAGCTGGATGACATTTTCGCATTATAATAAGTGACAAACGCGTAACAATATGTACTAGACATGCATCTCACACCTCATGTACTGTATATGCCATCTATATATCAACAATGTATCTCTTAAATCTTCTGTACTATATTATGTAATAAAATATACCTATTGGTAAAAAAGAATGAAAAGATGGGATGGTAGGGGAAGTGAAATATTCAAACGGCTTCAGGAAGAAATCCAAATATTCTTCTTTGAAGCCTTTTTATCCACTAAAATATTTTTTTATTTTTATTTTTTTTTTATTATCACACCGGCCGACTCCCACCAAGGCAGGGTGGCCCGAAAAAGAAAAACTTTCACCATCATTCACTCCATCACTGTCTTGCCAGAAGGGTGCTTTACACTACAGTTTTTAAACTGCAACATTAACACCCCTCCTTCAGAGTGCAGGCACTGTACTTCCCATCTCCAGGACTCAAGTCCGGCCTGCCGGTTTCCCTGAATCCCTTCATAAATGTTACTTTGCTCACACTCCAACAGCACGTCAAGTATTAAAAACCATTTGTCTCCATTCACTCCTATCAAACACGCTCACGCATGCCTGCTGGAAGTCCAAGCATATATATATATATATATATATATATATATATATATATATATATATAATATATATATATATATATATATATATATATATATATATATATATATATATATATATATATATTTCACTAACACTGCGACTAGCCGAGGACTCGAACCCGTGTCGTTTTCTCTCGCCATGAGACAGGCTAAAGAGACATGGGTTCGAGTCCTCGGCTAGTCGCAGTGTTGTTATTGATTAAATATCACTCGTTCGTGGTTACAATAATATTTATACTGCTCGTGGAGGCTAGTACACCAAACGGGAAGTAGAACGAAATTAGTTCTGAGGCACCCACACCATCGTATGTCCTCGGATCACGGTAGGATTGGGTGGTCCCGTGGATTACAGCGTCGTGAATTTTCTCTCGCCATGAGGCGGGCTAAAACAAAACGGGTTCGAGTCCTCGGCTAGTCGCAGTGTTATTAAATACACTACTCGTTCGTGGTTACAATAATATAATATAATATATATATATATATATATATATAATATATATATTATATATATATATATATATCATAGACTGATCTTAAAATTAATTCTACAGTAAATTTACGAATTACTTTCACCAATTCACTAAGAACTCGTAAACAACTAGAGTGAGACATTCACCTCACATGAAGGTCATGGCGTAATGTGTGTTGACTAGATTACTAGACTGCCAAGAACTGTTCTCTGCGTGAGCCACTGTTATTCATGTCAGGTGAAGATCATGACGTTATGTGTTACCATTGTTATGTAATTTAGATGAATATCATGACGTTATTTATTACCATTTTAACGTAACTTAGATAAAGAACTAATCTGTGGGAAGCACTGTTATATAGCTTAGCTGAAGATCATAACATTATGCCAGCTCCCTAGAACACAGAGAACTACGTGAACCACTGTTATCCACCAGGGTGAAAGGAACAAAATCTTTGTGTTGGCTAGAATACTTCTGTTCTTTGTGTACAAAGGTGTTATCGAGAACAGGTGAAGGTCGGGATGTTGTCTGTGTTAACTACAGCATCAAGAACTCTCTGTGTAGCTTCAACTGTTATGGTAATATTTGCACTTTCCCTCTCCACACCTGCTGCCTAAGACGGACACCCGTTATATTACGAAACTCTTGTAGTACGTACTGATGGTAGTAAGTGGTGGTGGTTGTGATGAAGGTAATGGTGGTAGTATTGGTGGTGGTTGTAGTGGTAGGTGTGGTTATAGTGGTTAATTATTTTAATCATGGGGAGCGCTAAACCCATTGGGATTATACACGCCTGTGGGGGGGGGTATGGAAGGTATTCAGGCTCAATTCAGACAACTGGAGCACAGATCCAATTCCCTAGATCAAGAGCCCCTCACCAGCGTCGAGGAACCTTCCTCGAGGGGTGGTCATAGTGGTAAGTAGTCGTAGTAGCGCTCGTGGTGATGGTGTCTGAAGCATG